ATCTAACAACCCATTATGCATGAAAACTTCAACATTTCTCATATCATTGGAGGAGTTACCTTCTCCAACTCAAATCATGCTCATCATAACATCATGAAGCAATTATGAAATTATTTTAAAAGCACATTTAAGCATGTTCAATAATTCATTTCATGAAGCATATAGGCAACTCATACTAGATGCACATCAACATGAGGAAAAAAAAATCATACAAACTCAATTTCTCATTAAACATGAATTCATCAAGAACATGCATAACATAAGGAGACCATGTAAATACATAAATCACACATGACTCCAAAACATGAAACAAGCCATAAGGAACTCTTGGTCTCAAGCTTGAATAGGAATAGAAGAAAATGATACGGATATCAGATCTCTCAACAACCTTGCCTTCTAAGCATACCATCTCCCCCTTGGGAGTAAACCCATACTAAGGCTAACATGAAAATAAAATAGGGACCTTAATAAAACATTTACAATTACAAGGAACTATCAACATACCGGTGCCTTCATCCGGAAGGGCTCCTTTGTCCTCTCTAGACCGAAGTGCATAGAAACGACCATAATTTGGAGGGATAGGAACCGTACCATTTAGAGAATTTTGTTTAGCATCTCTTCCTTTTGCCAAAAGTGTAGGACAATCTTTCACTTGATGATCACTTTTTCCACAACCATAACACCCCTTTGTACCGGCTAGGCACTTCCCAAGATGATTCTTTCCACAATTGGTGCAAGTAGGTCTAGGAAATGGAGACCCACTACCTTTATCTTGGTTACCCCTAGGAGTACTTGAATAATCTTGGTTGGAAGGTCTCTTTTTGAACTTTGTTGACCTTGCTCATCGGACCTAACTCTTCATCTCCCTATTCTTTCTCTTAAGTTTGGACTCCTCAATTTGTTGGCATACACCATAAGCCTAGAGATAGTTATGTCATCATGGAGCATTGTCGTACGACATTCTTCCTCAACTAAGTCGGACACACCCGTCACAAATCTTATCATCTCATCCCTCAGATTTGACACCAAAGAAAGAACATACTTAGACAAAAGGGTAAATTTTAAAGAATACTCTTGCACACTCATGCTACCTTGCCTAAGGTTGATAAATTCCTCCATCTTAACTTCCCTCTTATCATGGGGAAAGACCTATCAAGGAATGCTTTCTTGAACACTTCCCAATCTATAGGACCCGCTCCTATCCTATTACTCTTCCATTGAGTAAACCAAACTTGGCAATATGTTTCAATTGATAAGCGGCTAGTTCCACTTTTTCTACCGAAGTCACCCCCATAACATCAACTACCTTATACACCTCATCCACAAACTCTTGGGGATCCTCTCCCACCTTAGAACCAAGGAACACCGTAGGGTTCATCCTAACAAAATCCCTCAGCCTAGAAGCCATAGTGCTCACATTAGGGTTCACATGAGTCTCAACACCCCTATTGGCTTGGGCTGTCATAGTTTAGGCTTGAGTAGTCACGGCTTGAGCCATCATTAGAAGAGCCGACCTAACTTCTTCATCCGACATGGCCGGATGGTTAATTGAGACTTGATTGCTTTGAGGAACTTGATTCTCTTGAGGAACTCCTCGATTCACATTCTCCTCTTCTACCCTTCTATTATTCGCCCTTCGTGTATTCATTTCCTGAAGACACAAGAGAAGGGTTAGGAAATGGACTTTTGTAGAGCTAAACTCTATGGCACGACTTAAGAGTAATGAAAGAAGTGTAGTTTCCTAACATCTTATAGCCTCTCATTCATAAATGTAGCATGATTTACACTCATGAACAAGACTCTACTAGAAGTGACTTGTGAGACATCATCCTAAAAACCATCCCAAAAGCTTGTGCTCTGATACCATATTTGTCACGACCGAGCCTACGCCACAGACGTAACACGGCGTATAAGACTCCGTAAAGCCTCATAGCATTCATAATATAAGACATAATAAAATGGTACGAAATATAAAACATTTAATCTATACAATCGAGGTCTTTATTTAAAAACAAACAACGAAAGTTTAACTTATCTCACATAGCCATCTATTACAACTTGAATCAAAGATTGGGTCACAACCCTTTAAGATAGTTTGAAACATAAAATGACATAAAAGAAACTAGAAATGAGCAACTCTCATCCTGGAACCATGAAGACTCACCACTAGTTTTGGAGAGAATCAGTCCAAGCTTTGAACACTAGAAGTCACCTTAAGATCCAGAACCTACACTTTGTTGAAAAATGTAGAAGAAATATGAGTTAGCATAAAAATGTACTAAATATGATAGCCATGCAAAAATCATGCGAAAAAGGACATTTTGGTAGAAAATCATGCGTTTAACAAGTTTGAGGATCATCATGCATCTTTAGTAAAAACACATAAGCCAAAAATATATTCATCGTCTAACTCATTAGAACATAATAGAACCATCATGAAAGTAACCCTAGGTTATACTTGTGCAATGTATGAATGGCATCCCATAATACCATTCATACTAAGTACCACTTTGAGGCCACCATAACATACTTACCATTCTTGATTCTCATCTTTAGTCAATAATCATAGACAAGGAACATTCACATTTAATAGGGCATGACAAGGAAAGCAACTCATAATAACATTTCCAAGTTAAACATTCATCATTACATTAAGCCTTTAAGTCAACATTCTCATTAGCATCGTTATGAGCATATTCATTTCATTAGACATTAAGACATTAGAGAAACACACCATAGCCCTCTCAAAGCCTACTCATGCAATGCATGAATGGAATCCCATACTACTACCCACGCTTCATAGAACCTCTTGAGCAACCATAGCATGTAACTCACATGATGGGAATAAGCCCTAACCGGCATACACCATGTGAGCATACATGGAATCCAGTGCCATGTCCCACACCGAGGTTTTGTACTTGCCTAAGGTAGAACTGGTAACACTTTAGCTTAGGTGGATCCACTAGCTAATAACCTATGTGGGCACATAGTTATGGGATAAGAAAGGTGTTAATAGAAACTCGGCCTAACATGGGGAGAGTTTCCACCTCACCATATCCACTCGGTGCTAAGCTTTAATCTCCCATAGAGTAGTTCATTCCTTTAACATTACTACATATGAGAGGGATGCCATTGGCCTGTCGACCCATGGTACATTATTACTCAAATGAAAGGGTGACATTAGCCTACAGATTCAAGGTACATTATTTAACACGTGAAAGGATGTCATAAGCCTACTGATTCAAGGTACATTATTAGGATAGCTCATTGAATCCTCATGAAAGGGTGCCATAAGCCTACCAATTCAAGGTTCATCATTGTCATTCATGGAAGGGTGCCATTAGCCTACCGATCCAAGGTTCATCATTATCATGCATGGAAGGGTGCCATTAGCCTACTGATACAAGACACATCATTAGAATATTTCATTAATAATTTATGAAAGGGATGCCACTTGGCGTACCGATTCAAAGTTCATTAGGTCAAGATACATTAGTTACATAAGAAGAAGATGCCCTAAGCCTACCAATTCAAGATGTAACTTTATATTGAAGAAACCTTTCACATTATATCATCATCATTCACAAGTGTATAATTGAGAATAACCTTTCAATGATATCACAATTGCATTGTAGTCATGATCACATTAATTTCAGTGGAATCGGAAAGAATATACATAAGCGTCATTATTATACATCAACCTTCATAATTTTCCCCTCAAGGCCATGAATCACAATTCACCAAAACACCTAGAATTACTACAATTTAGGCATGGATAATGACATAATTCAAGTAACTAAAGCATTAAAAGATCAATTATATAACATTCATCTTACTACAATTCACCCACATCAAAGTCATAAATTAGGGTTATGGGGAAATCATGGATTCATCGGGGATTTTTATCTTAAAACCACCATAAAACAACAATTTAATCTTAATATATGATCATTAAACAATTTAAAATGTTTTGAGAAAGAATCCATGACCTAGAATGAAAACCCTTAGTTTTGGAGAATTTCCAACTTTGAAATTGAAGGTTTGAGGATTTCATGGATAGAAAGCTAACCATGAATCAAAACTACCATATCTTGATTGAATTTTCCTCACTAAATTGAGTGGAAAAGATGAGTCCTTGATCCCTATACCTTGACTTCTTCTTCTTCTTCTTCAATGGAGGTTTTAAAGAGAGAATTATTTGGAGAGGAGTTGGTTATTATTTTGGGTTTGAAATTATGAATTGTAAAGGTGTGGTTAATGACTTAAAAGGTCTTAAATAGGTCTAATTAATAAATATAAAACGACCCCTTACTTAACTAACCACACTAGGAATTTACCTAAGTGGCCCTCCCTTGGTCAAACCTAGGCAGTTTGCAGACCTCACCCACGACCTAGGACCGATGGTCCATGAGTGGACTCACATGGCGTCCTGCAGGTCCATAGGTGGAGGATTGGGGCTCCTAAAATGGGATCTTGACTCACGAAGGCTCCCCACGAGGCATAGAGGGACCTACGCCTCATAGGTCCCACCCTTTGGTCATGAAAATTTGGCAGATTTTGGGTTCTTGGGGAAGCTTTGGGGTTAGGCTTTAGAGTCCTCCTCAAGGACCCTTGGTTGGTCTTTGGGGGGGTCGTACCTTTAACCCTTAAACTCCTCAACCTAAGCTAGGGAAACCATTTTACAAAATAAAATCCCACATAAAACTCAACAACTCACATGTAAGGCTCTAGTTTCACCTACTAGTTTTTCCGAGTCATAACATTTCCAGGATCTGGTACGACTAATGGAAGAAGAACAGGGATGAATGGGCACCAATTGTGAGTTGGGCTATGTTTGAAAGTGCCTTCATGGAATGATTCTTTTCCCCTGAGCTGAGAGAGGCAAAAGTAAGATAATTTCTTACTCTTAAACAATAATCCATGAGTGTGTATGAGTACAACCTCAATTTCACTAAACTATTCCGTTATGCTCTGGAGTGGTGGCTCATATGAAAAGAAGGATGGGTTTATTTGTGTCTGGGCTTTCCCGCTTGTCAATCAAAGAGGGTAAGAGTGCTATGTTGATAGGAGACATGGATATAGCCAGGCTTATGATCCATGTGCAGCAGGTGGAGGAAGACAAGTTGAAATATAAGGAAGAGTTTCATTATAAGAGGGCCAAGACTACAGGTAATCAGTACGGACAAATGAAGACTAGAAATATGAACTAGTCATCTTTTTAACAAAGGGCCACTGGGCCTGCTCCATCATTGGCTAGTGGAACTACACCAAAGAATAGAGGTGAGTTCAGGAATCAAAATTCGCAGAACTTCAGAGCTCAACCTACTCAGTCCCAGGGTATTGTGGCACAAAGGGCCAACTTGACTCTTACATGTGCTGAATATGGTAGAAACCACGTAGGAGCATGTCATGATGGCTCCACTAGATATTTCAAGTGTTTTCAAATAGGTCACTTCATGAGAGAGTGTGCTAATAACAAGCATGGTAATGTTAATGTGGGCAATAGAGCACAATCTTCTTTAACGGCTCCACTAGACAGAGCTGAACCTAGAGGAGCCACTTTAGGGACAGGCAAAGGAGCAAACCGTGTATGCTATAACCAGTCGTCAATAAAAGAAGAATTTACCAGATGTTGTGAAGGGTATGATCAAAGTCTTTACTTTTGATGTATATGCATTACTTGATTCAAGTGCGAGTCTATCTTTTGTGACTTCGTATATAGCTATGAGGTTCGATATTCTTCCTGAACGACTTCTTGAGCCCTTCAGTGTTTCTACACAAATTGGTGAGTCTATTTTAGTCGAGATAGCTTATCGTGATTGTGTCATCTCTAACAATCAGAAGAACACCATGGTTGACTTAGTCGAGCTAGACATGGTGGAATTTGATGTTATTCTAGGTATGGACTGGTTTCATGCTTGTTATGCCTTAGTTGATTGTAGAACTCGAGTTGTAACGTTTCAGTTTCCTATGAGCCTGTTTTTAAAAGTGGAGGAGTAGTTCAGTAGTGCCTAAGGGTCGTTTCATTTCATACCTTAAGGCCAGAAAGTTGGTTTCGAAGGGGTGCATCTATCACTTAGTCCAAGTTATTACCTATAGTGTTGATACACCACATATTCAGATAGTTCCAATTGTGAGTGAGCTTCTAGTGGTACTTTCAAATGATCTTCCAATAGTCCCTCCTGAGAGAGAAATTGATTTTGGCATAGATATTCTTCGCGATACTCGACCTCTATCTATTACACCATATAGAATGGCTCCAACCGAGTTAAAAGAGTAATTGAAATACCTTTTTTATAAGGATTTTATTCAACCTAGTGTTTCACCTTGGAGCGCTCCAGTCTTATTTGTGAGGAAGAAAGATGGTTCTCTTAGGATGTGTATCGATTACTGCTAGATGAACACGATCACTATATATCACGACCCGAGTCTACACCCCGGAAGCAACACGGTATACTCGACCCCGAAGGGCTCTTATACAAGCCTAATAACATTCATTCATCGCATAGGTAGTAGAAATAGTATGAAATTAAAACTTTTTATTTAAAAACCATACAATCTATCCTTTAAAAACATTTAAATGAAGGCGGAAGTCTATATCTCACATGGCCATCTTAGACACAATCTTTAAGAAAATAGGGTCACGACCCCTTACAATCGAAGTCTTAAGTAGTCTATTACATGAAAAGAAAGGAACTTCTAAAAAGACACTTGTCCTCGATCTATGAGGACGTACCACTTGATCTTGGAAGAATAGTAATCCAAGTACTTCAATCTAGATAGAAGCAATCACTTGCCGGAACCTACACTTGTAGTAAAAACATAGAAGAATGGGTTAGCATACAAAATGTAATAAGTATGATGACCATGCAAAACATGCTTTAAAAGAGACATTTTTGTTGGAAACCATGCATTATGCCACCTTTTAGGAATATCATGAACAATAGCATAAGAGACATCAAATACAAATATAATCATCATACAAGTCATAACATCACATTTGAACAATATCAACAAGTAACTCTTTAATACAATCCAAGTATAGCATGTATCATTACATTAGACATTCAAATCATCCTTCTTTATTAGCTTCTTCAGAAGACTTTCATTCATTTGTCATTAAGACTTAGAGAACTCACTATAGCCCTCTTGAAGCCTACTCGCCATGTATGGATAGCATCCCATACTACTACCCACACTTCATAGAACTCCTCAAGAAACTATAATGCACATCTCACATGATGGGAATAAGCGTTTAACTGAATAGACCACGAGAGCTAGATCATGGAATATGATGTACAATCCCACATCATAAGAGTTGGTATACTTGCCTAAGGTAAACCGGTATTAGGTTAAGTGGATCCACTAGCTAGACTTATGTGGGCACATAGTTAAGGGACAAGGAGAATTCTACTTGATACCCTGCCTCAACTCACGTGAGGGCATCCATATCAAGAGATTGCTACTAGAAACCCTGCCTCAACTCATGTGAGGGCTTCCATCTCATTCAATATCCTCTCGGTGCTTAGCCTACATTCCCATAGAGTATTTTAACATTCATTACATTAGGGGATAATAGATTGTTACTAGACACCCCGCCTCAACTCACATGAGGGTATCCATCTCAAACCCAAAATTCATATATTGGATAGCTCATAGATTCAAATATGAGAATAGCCTTTCATCTAAGAATCCCATTATCGTTCATTAGTGTAAGATCGAGAATATCCTTTCACTCAACACATCATTATCAATTATTAGAGTACAATTGAGAATAGCCTTTCAATAAGTACTTCATCATTAATATTATCATTGAAACGTATTCATTCTTCATTCACGTGTGTGTGTCTTGTTGTGTGCATTCATGATTGAGTCTTGTGTAACACTGTTTGAGACACCCTTTTCGAATGGCTGAACTTGAGCTTGCTTGAGGAGTAGCAAAAATTTAAGTTATGGGTGTTGATGAGTCCACAAATTGGACTCATTTAGGGCTTTATTTTGATAGAAATAGTGTCCTCAAATGCTTATTTTGTCTCAATATCTGATGAAAACTCTTAAGTTTTAGGTATTTGAAGTTTTGGTGGAATCATGGACAGTTAGACACAAAAAGGAACAAAAAAAGGCTGAAAAGAACGAAGAACCTGAAGCCTGAGCTTCACCAAGCACACTTGGCGACTCACCGAAGGGATTCACTCCGCCCTTCCTTCTATTGCGCGAAGCCCTGAAGAAAAAGAATCAAAAGGCGATGAAGGAGCAGTCGGCGCTTCGCCTAGTATTTCTGTGAAGCAGTACTATCCTCCCAATGGTCCAAAACATGAAGATGCTAAAGGTAAGCACGAAACGGAGATGAAACAGAAGAAGGGCGAGTCGTTAAGTCATTCGGCGACATAGACTAACCTCGCCGAAAGATCCGCCAGCACTATTTTCTGAAGTCCATAAATACTTAACTTGTTATTAATTTTTGGAGTTGAACATTTATTTTAATTTCCATAATAGAATAGTACTTTTTGGGATATTTTCTCTCAAGTTTGGAGAGGGTTTTGTGGGAGACTTGAAGAGAGAAGGATTTCACCTTCCCCAAGTTGGAAGTGGGTCTTCTCCATTCTTCTTCCTTTGCTTAAATCAAGGTTTAATTTCTTATACCCATTTGATTTTAGTATCATTTTAGGTGTATTTTATTATTTCTTGATGTGTGCCTAAAAACCCCATTCTTGGGGTGTGATTTAGCAAATATGTGTTGATATTATTATTGGGTCTTGTTTGCTGATAGGTTAGATGTATTTTAATGGTGATTTAACCTAGTGGTTGTGGTTTAATTTGGGTTTTTAGTTGCCAATACAAAACCACCCATGTGCTTTTTGGCTTGCCCGAGAGGGAGGTCGCGAAACCAAGACCACTAGACTGATGGCCTAAGGAGTAAGTCCAAATGAGGTTCAGTCCGAGAGGGTGAACCCTAGTCCCATATCCTAACACTCAGCTCGAGAGAGTGAGTGGGGTAAGGTGTAGGCTGGTCTTCATGCGGCCAGTGGGTGTCCAAGAGGAACCCATTTGAAATGGGGTAAGTTGCCCGAGAGGGAACTTATTTATATCTAAAGCTTAGCCTAGTCACTATTATCTTGTAAATTTCCTATCGAAAGAATGTACCCAACGATTTATCTCAACTTGTATTGCGGTCACACCCCAAAAACTTTCTCCCATACTTGATTTTCCTATTAATTTTTGTTGTTTTTACTACTTGGGGCAAAACCCCCAATTGATATTTGACACTTTTGTGTCACCCATTTTAATTTACAATGTTTTTGTTCGTTAATGTCTTTAGCTACGACTAATTAGAACTAAATTTTATTTTTCTATTAATTCTCAAAACCACTCCCTTGGGACACGACCCCAACCTTTAGTTGGGTTACTATATTATCGACGATCGTAGACACTCGTACCGTAGGTTAGTGTCGTTGTTCATGATAAGCATCAGCCATCTTAGACACAATCTTTAACAATATAGGGTCACGACCCCTTACAATCGAAGTCTTAAGTAGTTTATTACATAAAAAGAAAGGAACTTCTAAAAAGACATTTGTCCTCGATCTATGAGGACGTACCACTTGATCTTGGAAGAATAGAAATCCAAGCACTTCAATCTAGATAGAAGCAATCACTTGCCGGAACCTACACTTGTAGTAAAATCATAGAAGAATGGGTTAGCACACAAAATGTACTAAGTATAATGACCATCCAAACACATGCTTTAAAAGGGACATTTTGGTTTGAAACCATGCATTATGCCACTTTTTAGGAATATCATGAACAATAGCATAAGAGACATCAAATACAAATATAATCATCATACAAGTCATAACATCACATTTGAACAATATCAACATGTAACTTTCTACCTTCACATTAGCCTTCACCTCAAGTAACCCTCATGCTATACCTTGTGCAATGTATGGATAGTGTCCCATACCAGCATCCACACCAATGTACCACATTAAGGTCACCAAAAGTGAACTTACTATTCAACCTTTCCATTTTCAATAATACTCATACACAAGAGACCTAAACCTTTAACAAGTTATTTCATCACATAAGGACCATCACCTAAGACAACCCCTAAGTCATACTTGTGCAATGTGCAAGTAGCATCCAATACTACTACTCACACTAAGTACTCCTTTGAAGTGACCATAGGCAAGGCACATTCAAATACAATAAGTCATAACAAGGAAGTAACTCATAATACAATCTAAGTATAGCATGCATCATTACATTAGACATTCAAATCATCCTTCTTTATTAGCTTCATTTAGAGGAATTTCATTCATTAGTCATTAAGACTTCGAGAACTCACTATAGCCCTCTTGAAGCCTACTCGTGCCATGTATGGATAGCATCCCATACTACTACCCACACTTCATAGAACTCCTCAAGAAACTATAATGCACATCTCACATGATGGAAATAAGCATTTAACCGACATAGGCCACGAGAGCTAGATCAAGGAATCCGATGTACTATTCTACATCGTAAGGGTTAGTCTACTTGCCTAAGGTAAACCGATATTTAGCTTAAGTGGATCCACTAGCTAGACCTATGTGGGAAGATAGTTAAGGGACAATAAGATTGCTACTAGATACCCCGCCTCAACTCACGTGAGGGGATCCATCTCAAGAGATTGCTACTAGAAACTCCGCCACAATTCACATCAGGGCTTCCATCTCATTCAATATCCTTTCGGTGTTTAGCCTACATTCGAGTATTTTAACATTTATTAAATTAAGGGATAAGAGATTGTTACTAGACACCCCGCCTCAACTCACGTGAGGGCATCCATCTCAAACCCAACACTCATTTATTTGATAGCTCATAGATTCAAAGATGCGAATAGCCTTTCATCTAAGAATTCCATTATCGTTCATTAGTGTAAGATTGAGAATATCCTTTCAATTAACACATCATTATCATTCATTATAGTACAATTAAGAATAGTTTTTTAATAAGTACTTCATCATTGACATTTTGATTGAACCTTATTCATTCTTCATTCACGTGTGTGTGTATGTGAGAATAACCTTTCACATAATCATCATCATTCACAAGTTTTAATAGAGAGATAACATTCAATCCTAACACAATTAGCTTCTAGACACGATCCTCATTCATTCATTTAGATCACACACATGTATCATATCACAATTATACCTTAAGCTCCACATGTTGGGTACAAGGAATATATCCATCAATTCAATACCATAATGTACATAGTAAATAAACACCTCCACC